GTATCCTAGCTTAATCTGTTATCTGTAAACGTTCCCTAAATCTACTAATTTAGGGATAATCCACTGACATCCTTTAATACACATGTTAATTTGAATCAGATGTACTGATAATATCCGCAATATAAATCTTTAAACTTCTTCTTACCTTTAAAAGTCCGTCACGAACGGTCTATTATGCTGCAACTCTACAGCTCTGCTAGCCTTGGCGCTAACTTCCAGGGAACGATTGAGAGGCTCCACGATCCGCCATTGCTGTAAAAAAGTGGTCCATTGGAGTGAACGGAGATGTCGTAACTCTTCTATTATATGGCTCTGGCCCTGACTAATCACAGGTTGGCAGGGGTATCACATGAGCCTTGTCTGATTGGTCAATCCCTCCATTTTTTTTCACCAAGGGAAGCCAATTTCGGCTGGCCTCCTCTCGCAACAGTGAGTGCAATCTACTGTTTTACCATAACACCTAGAGGGGCGCTGTTTCACTCTTTGTAAAATACTCAATGAGAATGGGGGAGAGACGGGCCGGCAGCAACACACAACAAAGAATTTCTGAAACTAAACTAAGTGTTTTTATTTATTTATTAAAATTATAACTACAATCCGAAAAAACAGGGGAAGCCTGGCTTCCCTTGGCCTCCAGGAGAAAACGCCACTGCAAATAATGGGTTGTTTTTCCTCCAGGGGACAATGCTCCGCCTCTTGGATCGTCATGATTGATTTGTCTGAGGGACGGGATTTATCCGGAGCCTCTGGTTGGCCTACAGGGATAAATCACGTCTACCTTCACATCACCCATCCATTACATCAGAAGATCTTCCTGTCGGAGTTTATTGCGGATCAGAAAACAGAGTGTTTGTTTTCTAACCCCTGCCGCCAGTCTCCATGATACTTCATCCATCATGTTATGGTCAACAGGCCTGTTCGGACACTACTTCCTGTTCCTTTTCCTCGTGTACACGGGACAAAAATACCCTTTCCTCTGGTGAGTGAGGAGCTGTTGCTATCTCTGCAGCAAGTTGAGGCAGTGGATAGCGCACGGTGGTTAGACGAATCAGGTTAAAGAAATACTTTAACCCACAAAATGATTATTGGTATATCATTACTCAGCCTGTGTTGACTTGACTTAACACCCTAAAGAGTGCACCCATCCGGTACTCATACAGCATTTTGCCATACTTCACATTGGCTGTCCTTAAAATAGCAAATGTAAGTACCAAAGTACGCCAATTGAGCCACATAGCATTAGATGTATTCAAGAGTTAAAGGTACCATTGGGTGGGTCTTTGGAAAACAAAGGGTATTTTTCTGGGTGAAGTTCTCCTTTAAGTGGTGCTTATGAAGCGCTGAGAGCCGGTCTGAGTACCGGTGTCCGTGGCCAGAGTTGAGAGCACACGGAAACCTGAACTCTGCACAGAATCGTGACTCATTTCCTCAGCTGGAAGCGGAGGGATGGCTCCTGTGTGCCAGGAAACAAAGACTCCCTCCTGCACACATCTTGTCACACCGCTGCCCGCCTGTGGATCTCATCTGGCTCATTTCCAACGTTAGTGTCTGTTTATACAATGCTCCATGTTCCTCTGCTGCTTAGTCTGCAAGGTAGCTTAGTCTGAGTCCTGCTAAATATTGTTTCCAAACCTTTCGTGAAGACCCACAGGAGGAAGGCAAAACTTGAACAAGGGTTTGTTTAAAGTAAATTACACGCCCTGAAGGTGATCCAACATCTCGCCCAGTCTACCGACTTGATGTTTCAATAGTATGCTTTAACACTGACTAAATTACTTGAAGACGATTTCCCAGTCAAAAACGTATTGCAATACTTGCAGATTTACAGCATCTTACTAGCATACCGTATAGTCAAATACATAATGCTGGCTACTGAAAGCTACGTTATGGCACTACCACCTGTTTTTAAAGAGGCCTTATTGTGCTTTTGGGGGTGTTCCCTTTCCTGTAGTGTGTTGTATAGGTTTTTGTGAATGTAAATGTTCTGCAAAGTTCTCTCCATTAGACTCCTTTGTTTACTTCCAACATAGTGACATCACTATGGAACACACACTCCTATTGGCTAGCGCTCATACAATGTACGTATGTAATGTGCGCATGTGATAGGCTAAGGGGGGGGGGGACATCTCTAAGCAGTTGACCAATCGCAACAGAGCCGGCTAGCTAACCAATCAGCACAGACTGGGCTCTGGTTTCAGACAGAGGCTGAAAAGATGTGCTGTAGCACAGGCAGTATGAGAAAAATAAAGAGCTTTTGGAACATTAAAGCATGGAGACATGTAGAGACACTACATACTGATATACACCTGAACATCAGCAGGAGAGGACTCTTTAAAGTAGAGACACTACATACTGATATACACCTGAACATCAGCAGGAGAGGACTCTTTAAAGTAGAGACACTACATACTGATATACACCTGAACATCAGCAGGAGAGGACTCTTTAAAGTAGAGACACTACATACTGATATACACCTGAACATCAGCAGGAGAGAACTCTTTAAAGTAGAGACACTACATATTGATATGAACCTGAACATCAGCAGGAGAGGACTCTTTAAAGTAGAGACACTACATACTGATATGAACCTGAACATCAGCAGGAGAGGACTCTTTAAAGTAGAGACACTACATACTGAGATACACCTGAACATCAGCAGGAGAGGACTCTTTAAAGTAGAGACACTACATACTGATATACACCTGAACATCAGCAGGAGAGGACTCTTTAAAGTAGAGACACTACATACTGATATACACCTGAACATCAGCAGGAGAGGACTCTTTAAAGTAGCGACACTACATACTGATATACACCTGAACATCAGCAGGAGAGGACTCTTTAAAGTAGAGACACTACATACTGATATGAACCTGAACATCAGCAGGAGAGGACTCTTTAAAGTAGAGACACTACATACTGATATGAACCTGAACATGAGCAGAAGAGGACTCTTTAAGTGATATTCAACAACTACGTCGTAACTACTACATGGCTCTTACACTATCTCCAGATAAGGTCACTGCTTACATCATCGATGAATCCAACCTGAGAAATGTTGCTATAAAGATTCATTCAAAAGAGTTATAACTAAAACTCTCCTTCCTGCCATGAACTGCCCTCCTCTGTGACCTTCTTCCACACTGACACACCACATTGCCTCGTGTGTTTATTCTACTTTACCATCTATCAGGACCAGCAGTGAATCCTCCCTCTGTAGCTTTGTGTCTCCGGAGCCCCACACTGCGTCAGAGCTCGCCACAAAGCCAGAGCAGCGATGAGAGGCGCTCTGAAAGATGTTTTAATTTCAAGCTCAAGGCTCAGTTAACAGGGTGGGTGTCCTTTACGTCTAGTCCCACCCCCCCTCTCTTGTTGCTTTGTCACTGTTGTCATGAGCTTGAGATCCAGCCAGAGAGGAATCCCAGGAATCTTTTTTCCAACGGACCTGGCTCTCATGTAGAGCTGAGGAGTAACGGTGACGTAGTCTAAGCCCCTCTTAAATAGTGGACTTCATGTAGGAACCGACATGAATCTTCTTACACCTTTGTTCTCTTTTACTTCCTTGTTTTGTCTTAAGTATATTGAATGTTGTTGTTGGAAGAGCATGGGATTCTCAGTGCCAGAAACAAGGCTGTAGCTGTTGTGCATGTGACACAAAAGCCTTTGAGTCTTGAGGCTTTGAATCTTTAAAGCGATTCACAACATTGTTTTATACAGCTATAGATACTGATGAAGGTAATCCCACACACCACGTCAAAGTTGTGTCGAGGAATAGTGGTCACATTTGGTTAAAAAACTGTATGAACCAAACGTAAAATAATGCACTTGGAAGAGTGTGTGATTCATTGAAAAATCACACAAAATACACATTTTACACGTGTGCAATTTGTGTATGAAATGTACGAGGAATAAAAAGGCAGCTGGCCTAATTCAACAAAAAGTACATACTGTTTTAACACTTTGTCAACAAGTGTTTATTGTTGTGAAAATGTACCATGAATTCATGCGACCTTGTCTTAGGTTTGCCATATTTTATTAACAATATTGCCACCAGTTGACATCACGTTTTAAAACATATATATTAAACATACTTGAATCGGCTTTCTTGCCATCATTTGCCATGTATGTATTGAATCGAGAATTGAAATCGAGAAACTGTACAATGTTCAGTTGTCTCCGCATGAACAAGAACATGTTTAGTATGTTTACAGAGAAACATTTTCAACCAGAAAAACTAAAATATCATACCAAATGTAATCTGGTTTCGTGCCATCATTTACCGTATTGAATTGAGATTCCATTTTTAAGATACTGAAAGATTTCCTTCTCTAATAAGAACCGACTGTGGCCCACAACACGTATAAGTATAGTAAGAGGACTTTTGTATTTTTAATATCAGATGGTGGTTTTGTCTGAAAGCATTTTATGTGTTCTTTCCACCAGCTAATGGGGATCCTACGAAAATCCTAAAAGTCCTAACCCCATCTGGTGCATTAAAAAAACATTAATCTAAAACATGGCCATCACCATGTAATCTAAATGATTAATTTAAAATAAACTTTGCTCAGGGAGAAGCTGAATCTGGTCTGAAACCACCAGACTAAGAGACAGTTTCATCCCACTGGCATAAGACTGCTAAACACCTGAACTGTTGAAAGAACATCCATAACATTCATCTGTTTGCAACTCATATATATATATATATATATTCTGCACTATTTCTATTATATTATATTTTATTTTATTTCCTCGCACTATTATCTGTTTTATTGTGTTGCACTGCTGGAGGAGCCTGTGACCTCAGATTTTCATCCTCATAACTGTAGCTATGTACAAATGACAATAAAAGCCTTGAAACCTTGAAACATGGATGAATACCATTTTGGAGTAGAGTGTGTTCCCCTCAGCAGCAGTGACAGGGTTAATCATACCCATATGGTGTACCAAGAGCTTTGGTCCAATGCTGCTGTGGGCCAACAGGAGAGGAGAGGCAGGGGGGGAGGCAGAGCAGAAGGGAGAGGACAGCGGGGTCTCACACACTCCCCCAACACCTGCACCTGGTCACTAGATTCAGGCAGGATCCGAGGATTCACATCACCGTGGCCATCCGTGCGTAAAGTTAGCGCGTAAATGTTGCCTGGGAGAAATACCGTCGACTGATTATAGGCAGCTTTTCTCTTTCTCTTCCCCCTTTCTCTCTCTCCCCCCCCTCTCTCTTTCTCTTTGCAAACCTATCGGATTGTTTTATGCCTGCGCAGCGCCGTCGAGGGACATTTTCCAATCCGGCTCCGAGGCACGAAACGCGGGGAATGCAGCTCTAACATCTCGCAAGTTTTCCCTTTCTTCCCGTTTTTGGATCTACTTGCATCGAGAAGAGTCAGAAAAACAAAAACAAGGTAGGTCATTTAACTTCTCTGTGGTTTTAACTTTTACCTCTGGTGTGGTTACTCTCTCTAAGCGTCACATTTGTTCGGTTCCTATTTCTGGATGTTGAGTTCACAGGTAAGTGCGCACTCCTCCGCGGGGAAGGGAACTACTTCATTGGAATCCTGTAATTATTTTTATTTTTAAAGGGAAAACACATGTTATTACAGCTGAACTTTAATCTGCCTTGCCGTTACCACCCTGCTATGAGAAGCAGGAGAAATATCGTCATTCATAAAAATACCTCGAAATCAGATCATAGAGAACATGGAGCCCCACGGGCACATGATTATGTTTTAGATACATTTAGATATTTTTAAGGTGTTTAAATGAGGTGTCTCGCGCATGGATTCTTTGTATATCCTTACTTCAATAACAGTAAGTAACATGTTTTTGGGTTTGTGATGTTTTTTGATAATAACGAAGCCATTTTGCCTTATTTTTGTATACAAAATATAAAAATAAGGACTTTAAAATGTGTCCCTGGTGTATATATGGCCATATGCCCATTTAAAAAAGCATTATTTCGATTAGTTTCAATGAATAAAATCATTTTTGGTGACGACCTTTATTTAAATGAACACTTTTTAAAATCCCAAATGCTTCACAAAGATAGCAAAATAGAAAACAGAGTCATAAACCATCATCTTTATGTCTCATATAAGTATTTATTTCGTTCTTAAACTCAAAGCAATGTTTTAAATGCGATGTGTGACTTATAACTGTGACATTTCATGACATACGATCTGTCTGAACATCATGTGGATCCCCTGTCTGATGGAGCATGTGCATTATAATTACTAACAGTGCATACATATATCAGAGAGTGTGTCATAGCAGGAATACAGATCAAGCTTCCCTGCTGAGCAGATATATGTGATTATGCCTTCAAGCCAAGGCGTTCCCACTGGCTCCTGTTTTTAATTCTAAACCTCCAGCATGCCAATTTCATCAGTTTTAATGGGAACATATTTGAGCAAAATGTGTCAAACGTGGATGTATGCCTTATTGTGAAATTTAAGATTCATCTCTAGCTTTTCTGCATGGATACCCCCTCCATAAAAGCCCTTTTTTTTAGGCTTGTGCCACTGGGAGGGGGTTTGGCTGCATGTATGGCATGAGAAAAAAGAAAAGCCCGTGGGATGGCTTATAGCTGGAGCAAAGCACACCTTCAGGGAGACAATTTAATGGATGTTGTGGACTCAGCTTTTAGTATTCATAATTTATACGGGATCCTCTCCAGCAAAGTGCAGATGCATAATGAATGCTTGAGTTAAGGTCTAACAGTTAGGCTACGTTTCAACACCCCTAAACTGTCAGGAACTGTTTCAAAGAGAGCTACCTGTTTCTTTGAACTGTCATGTTTTTCACCCGTCAACTTCTGGGGAATAGTCTGGTGTGCTTTGTTCAAAGACGGAGGCGGAGGCGCAGGGAATCACTGATGGGTTCAGAGGCTTTTTAAGTTCGGTTTTCTAGGAAAATATTGATTCAAGAGAAAGTACAAGATGAAATAAGGCTGGGTAATATGGGGAAATCAAATATTTTTGACAATATACCTCAATATCGACATTGTGATGGGATTGTAAATTAACTAGTGAGGCGCTTATCAAATATTTAAAAAGTGAACGTTATGATGAATAATAATCAGTAATGTGAATATATAGAGAGCTGCAGGGATGACATGTTTTTGTAGTGCGACACAGTAAAGCATCCTGTTTCCCTCCACAAAAAGCCAATGGGATTTTTCCATTGGATTTCGATATAGGCCTATATTACAGTAAATAATCCATCAACACACATTTGTGATACTTACACGTTTTGTTCAGTAGGATAATCTCCACATATAAATACTTGGAATTTTGAAGTAAAAAGCTAACGTTAGGCTATAATGGCATACCTGCCAACCCTACCGATTTGGGCGGTAGTCTACCGCTTTTTACATGTTTCTACCGCCTACCGATTTAGCTGGCTTTCCCTACCAATTTCAATCTTCCCAAATTATAAAAAATAAAAATGCTCCTTGGCGCACCATAGACAATGGACTCGACTTTGGATCCTATCCAATGAAATTGGATTTGCTCATCACGTGATTAGTGTTCGGTCTTGGCGCCCCAGTGTTGTTTATTCACATCAGAGATGTTCAACGATACACACAGCTACAGGTTTTGATATGGAAATTCCGCGATGAATAGAACCCCCGAGAAGAAGAAGCCCACCAAGCGGTGGGACAATGTGTTTAAAGCCAAGTGGACAACAGATAACGAGTTTATCAAGGTATCGCGGAGAGGAGAGAAGCACACAAAGGTCTGTTGGTAAGGAAGATAAACATCTTAAAAAAAAAAAAAAATTCACCTGCTGCAACTGGAAACCAGACCCTGAACTTCTCAAGAAAGCCAAGTCTGCTACATACCAAGCACTAAAGTGACTGAACATTGTATGACCAATTTTTGTGAAAAATGCAAAAAGTGATGCAATATATTAAATACATGGTTTATACCTGTAATTACTGTGGTTCAATTTCTTCTGATTACCTAATTTGGGCGTGCACATTTGCCACTCGCAAACCTACCTCTTTTGGATTTGGAAAGGTTGGCATGTATGTAAAGGAACTACAGCACGGTCACATGACTTCACGTCACCACCGCTAAGCTAAAGGCAGCTAATGTTGGGCTATAAAGGAAACAGCACGGTCACATGACTTCACGTCACCACCGCTAAGCTAAAGGCAGCTAATGTTGGGCTATAAAGGAAACAGCACGGTCACATGACTTCACGTCACCACCGCTAAGCTAAAGGTGGCTAATGTTGGGCTATAAAGGAAACAGCACGGTCACATGACTTCACGTCACCACCGCTAAGCTAAAGGTGGCTAATGTTGGGCTATAAAGGAACTACAGCACGGTCACATGACTTCACGTCACCACCGCAAAGCTAAAGGATGCTAATGTTGGGCTATAAAGGAAACAGCACGGTCACATGACTTCACGTCACCACCGCTAAGCTAAAGGCAGCTAATGTTGGGCTATAAAGGAACTACAGCACGGTCACATGACTTCACGTCACCACCGCTAAGCTAAAGGCGGCTAATGTTGGGCTATAAAGGAACTACAGCACGGTCACATTACTTCACGTCACCACCGCTAAGCTAAAGGCAGCTAATGTTGGGCTATAAAGGAACTACAGCACGGTCACATGTCTTCACTTTACCACCGCTAAGCTAAAGGTGGCTAATGTTGGGCTATAAAGGAACTACAGCACGGTCACATGACTTCACGTCACCACCGCTAAGCTAAAGGATGCTAATGTTGGGCTATAAAGGAACTACAGCACGGTCACATGACTTCACGTCACCACCGCAAAGCTAAAGGATGCTAATGTTGGGCTATAAAGGAACTACAGCACGGTCACATGACTTCACGTCACCACCGCTAAGCTAAAGGCGGCTAATGTTGGGCATGATGACATTTAGTCGTTTCATTTAGACACTTGTTAGCAAGCGCAGTTTTTTAATTCGCCAGTAGGGTATTTACTGACAGATTTATTATATAGAATACAATTCTCTTCAGCTTGTGTTAACCACAGGCCTTATTTCCAGACCTGTGGACAGGAAGTGCTAAAAGGCTGACTCTTAGAGCAGCATTGGTAAAGTCTGGTAAATTCATTAAATGACTTCAGTTTACTTGAATGCATCATTTAAAACTAGAAAAAGGCCCTTATGATATTAGGATATCCAAACTTGAAAGAGATCTAACCTCATACAACAATAAAATATCAAAAATATTGCCCAGCCTGAAGATAAAAGCAAAGACAATCCTTTATTCTTCTTTGGGACCTTTTCCATGTGTGCTGCATTATACAGTCTCAACACATACCTCACTACATTTACACTTTAAATAAATAATAGGGCTGTCATATTTTCCAGAGCAGGTGTGAAGATGTGTTCTCTGCTGCCAAACTATACCTCTTGAAGGCTGCAGGCCGAACTTCTGATCAGAGACTTCAAAGAGGAAGCTCTCTCTCTCTCCTGTCTTTTCCTTCTTTTTCTGTCTCATAATTCTCACAGGGCTCTCTATAATAATAGTTCATTCCTCTTTTCTTTTTTCGGTCCAGATTTAGATCTCTGTGGGCTACCTGCATGACTGTTACCATGACAGCCTGTGGAGCCGCCCTCCTCCTGTTGGCCCTCAGTGTTTGCAGAGGCCTGCAGCAGTCGGCCCCGCGGATACGCCTCTCCTTCAAAGGTGAGCTCACACACATTAACCAGAACTCCTTGACTTCACCTTAAGGTCCAGCTGCACGATGTGGAACAAATAAGTAATTGTGATTAGCCTTTAAAGAGTCCTCTCCTGCTGATGTTCAGGTGTATATCAGTATGTAGTGTGTCTACTTTAAAGAGTCCTCTCCTGCTGATGTTCAGGTGTATATTAGTATGTAGTGTCTCTACTTTAAAGAGTCCTCTCCTGCTGATGTCCAGGTGTATATCAGTATGTAGTGTGTCTACTTTAAAGAGTCCTCTCCTGCTGATGTTCAGGTGTATATCAGTATGTAGTGTCTCTACTTTAAAGAGTCCTCTCCTGCTGATGTCCAGGTGTATATCAGTATGGAGTGTGTCTACTTTAAAGAGTCCTCTCTTGCTGATGTTCAGGTGTATATTAGTATGTATGTAGTGTCTCTACTTTAAAGAGTCCTCTCCTGCTGATGTTCAGGTGTATATCAGTATGTAGTGTCTCTACTTTAAAGAGTCCTCTCCTGCTGATGTTCAGGTGTATATCAGTATGTAGTGTCTCTACTTTAAAGAGTCCTCTCCTGCTGATGTTCAGGTGTATATCAGTGTGTAGTGTCTCTACTTTAAAGAGTCCTCTCCTGCTGATGTTCAGGTGTATATCAGTGTGTAGTGTCTCTACTTAAAGAGTCCTCTCCTGCTGATGTTCAGGTGTATATCAGTATGTAGTGTCTCTACTTTAAAGAGTCCTCTCCTGCTGATGTTCAGGTGTATATCAGTATGTAGTGTCTCTACTTTAAAGAGTCCTCTCCTGCTGATGTTCAGGTGTATATCAGTATGTAGTGTCTCTACTTTAAAGAGTCCTCTCCTGCTGATGTTCAGGTGTATATCAGTATGTAGTGTCTCTACTTTAAAGAGTCCTCTCCTGCTGATGTTCAGGTGTATATCAGTATGTAGTATCTCTACATGTCTCCATGCTTTAATGTTCAAACAGCTCTTTAGCTTTCTCATACTGCCTGTGCTGCAGCATCTCTTTTCACCCTCTGTCTGAAACCAGATCCCAGTCTGCTCTGATTGGTTATCTGGCCGGCTCTGTTGTGATTGGTCAACCGCTTAGAGATGTCCCGCCCCTTAGCCTATCGCGTACAATGTGTTGGAGCGCTAGCCAATAGAAGCGTTTCACAGTGATGTCACTATGTTCCTGAAGTAAACAAAGGAGTGTTTGGGAGAGAAACAACACAGGGATTTTATCCTCTGCAGACCATTGACATGCACAAAAACCTGTATAACACACAGGAAGGTCGAAACCCGGAAAAGCAGTATAGAGCCTCTTTAAACCAGGAAATGACCAAACTTACAATATCCAAGATGATATACTTTCTCAATAACGATAAAATATCAATATCATTTTTATATTTTTGATCAAATATGTCAATATTGTGACGATATTGTACATTTCTAAGCAGCGCAGTGTTTTGAAGCATGAAGACCGTGTGTGTAGGTCTTCCTAGTGTCCTCATCCTGTTAGAATTAAAACAAGTGTAAGTCTTAAATCAGAAACCAACATATTTCAGTACGTTTTCTTCACAAAATTGAATGAAGTTGGCCCTGACCGATATAAGCGAACTGTATATTTGTATAAAACGTCATCTCCTGACCCTTGTGCAGCTTTGGCGACCTCCACGTTGGGAACCCGTGCCCTGAGTCCCTGTGCTCTCACACCCCTGGTAGTTTCCTCTCAATACACATGTAAAGAACGTACTTCCTGCCACATGTCAAAAAGTGCAGCAGTGAAAACAAAAGGTGGATATTACGTGTGGTTGGTTACTGGTTGTGCCCTTCGACAAAGTGTCTCCCCACCACCCTAACACACACACACACACACAACACACACACACACACACACACACACACACACACACACACACACACACACACACACACACACACACACACACCACACACACACACACACACACACACACACACACACACACACACACACACACACACACACACACACACACACACACACACACACACACACACACACACACACACACACACACACACACTGAAGCGTGACCCGTCATCTCTCCTGGGGTTTGATGTCTGACATGATGACACGAGAAGGAAACACCTGAAATGTGATCACTGGAGCCCAAATGATATTTAAGAGCTTTTGGCTGAATGCTGTTTTTTTTATAGGTGTTTGGGATTTTCCCATGTAGTCCTCTCTGACGTTCAAGTTACAGCCTTTGATCCAAACAATGCTGCATGATTACTGTTATCTTTGCAGCACAGTGCACCTGCAGACATGCACACACCTTAGAGTACCTGTAGGTGAGAATTAAAGGTGTGAGTGTTACTTTATAGCATTTCTCTAAAGTGCTTTCATGTGGAGGCGAGTCAAAATCCCCGGTCAGGTCTCGGCAGCGCCGCATCTTGTTCTGAGCCGATTCAGCGAGAAACATTTATGCTTTTCAGCGATGTCGACATCTGACGCAGATTAGAGGTGGGCTAATCATGAGATCTGTGGTTGGAGAGCCTGTTTTGAATTCTTGTCATCTTTTGAGGGCAGAAAACAGCCGTCGACATGCTGCTCGTGGCGTCCATTTGTGAGAGAGTGATTGCAGGGTGTTTTTATATGACCTTTAACACTAATCGCCTCGCAGTGAACAGCTCACACACGGCACAGCGGTGTGTGTTTTTTTGTGCAACAGGGATCACAAAGTAGCAGTCTGACCAATTACACAAGTCGGGTCTTGAACTTGATCACGTCCGTGCTTTCGTGTAAGATGCAGGAATTCACATCTGTAGAAATCTCTCCGTGACAAATTCATGTTTAGAGCAGCTGAGAGGTGTTACATTATCAGAGAGGAGAAGTACTCAGATGTTGTACTTGAGTAAAAGTAGAAGTACTCAGATGTTGTACTTGAGTAAAAGTGGAAGTACTCAGATGTTGTACTTGAGTAAAAGTGGAAGTACTCAGATGTTGTACTTGAGTAAAAGTGGAAGTACTCAGATCTTGTAATTGAGTAAAAGTAGAATAACTCAGAGCGTGTACTTGAATAAAAGTAGAAGTACTCAGATCTTGTACTTGAGTAAAAGTAGAATAACTCAGATATTGTACTTGAATAAAAGTAGAAGTACTCAGATCTTGTACTTGAGTAAAAGTAGAAGTACTCAGATCTTGTGCTTGAGTAAAAGTAGAAGTACTCAGATCTTGTACTTGAGTAAAGTAGAAGTACTCAGATCTTGTACTTGAGAGTAAAAGTAGAAGTACTCAGATCTTGTTCTTGAGTAAAAGTAGAAGTATTCAGATCTTGTTCTTGAGTAAAAGTAGATGTACTCAGATCTTGTACTTGAGTAAAAGTAGAAGTACTCAGGTCTTGTACTTGAGTAAAGTAGAAGTATTCAGATCTTGTACTTGAGTAAAAGTAGAAGTACTCAGATCTTGTTCTTGAGTAAAAGTCGAAGTACTCAGATCTTGTACTTGAGTAAAAGTAGAAGTACTCAGATCTTGTACTTGAGTGAAAGTAGAAGTACTCAGATCTTGTACTTGAGTAAAAGTAGAAGTACCAGAGTGTAGGAATACTCTGTTACAGTAAAAGTCCTGCATTCAAAATGTTCCTCAAGTAAAAGTAGAAAAGTATTCTCATCAAAATATAGTGAAAGTAGCGACAGTGAAAGTAGTCGTTGTGCAGATTGGTCCATTTCAGAATAACATATATGATATGTTTTATAATGATTGATCATGAAAGTGTTCTCAAAGCTGGTAAAGGTGCAGCTAGTCTGAATGACTTTGTATACTGCAGGGTAGCTGGTGGATTTACTCCAGGTGGAACTAAAGTCTGATTCAACACTTGATTATATTTCACATCATTCATCATCTGTGAAGTAACTAAAGGTATTAAATACATGTAGTGGAGGAAAAGTACACCATGTAACTCTGAACTGTAGAGGAGTAGAAGTACAAAGTAGCATCAAATGGAAATAATCAAGTAAAGTAGTTACTTCCCTCCTCTGTAAATTACTACATTTCTTTGAGGTTTTTCAACATTCATCAGCCTCCCCTCCCCCAAACAGGAGGAACGTTGGATTTACTCCCCGACTGTTTTCTGCCATTCGGAGGATTTATTGTTCATTGTTTGTGACACGGAGTCTCTTTGTTCCCCGAGGCGCCTGGAGGAGGACATGTGACTCTTCTCAGAGACTCTGCAGAGGAGACGTTGTGTTTCCTCCGCTGCTGGGAAGTTGTGTCACTGTACAGGGGACGGAGGGGCTTTGATAGAGTTAGTCAGCATTGCTAGAGAGCAGCAGTGAGGCTGAAACCAGAGACACGCTCGCACATGCACTCTGAAGATATGAAGCCCAGGGCGGCAACATTTGGAAAATATATCTTAGGGACATTATTTTGACTGATGTTGCAATTGTAATTTGATTCTAGATATTGGATGGGTGGATCATTTTTCAACCATGATTCTCATTATCATTGAAATATCATCTGGGTGTGTTTAAGATGTTCTGAACAAAATAAATATGTTTTATAAAGGCTATAGAATACCGTTTGTGGGTCAGAGCTCCACAATACTTCTCTTAAAGTTGTTTTGAGCACAAATGTGTCCTTTAAAGAGGCCCTATTAAGCATTTTCTTCCCTTTCCTGTAGTGTGTTTTAAAGGTTTTAGTGCATGTAAATGGTCTGCAAAGGCAAAAATCCCCCCGTGCCTGAAACGCCTCCATTAGACTATTTTGTTTACTCTCAGGACATAGTGACATCACTACGTAACACTTGCACTCCTATTGGCGCTCCAACACATTGTACGTATTAGACTTAGGGGCGGGACATCTCTAAGCAGGTTGACCAATCACAACAGAGCCGGCCAGCTAACCAATCAGAGCAGACTGGGCTCTGGTTTTATTCTTTTTAAATCTATTTTTAAGGAAAGTTCTGGCAAACTTGAAATGTAAAATGTTGCCTTTGCGGGATTCTTTCTTGATCAAATCCACAAATTGAT